GAGAGAGAGAGAGAGAGAGAGAGAGAGAGAGAGAGAGAGAGAGGATTCCATGCTTAGTTGTTTGCCAGGTAAGCATTTTTACATGTGGGCGGAGGAGTGAAAATAGAGATCACACAGGCAGAGTTATGGTAATGATGTGCTCCGGGTTCTTGTACTCAAGCTTTTTACAGCAACCCATATCAGCCTGATATGTTAATAGGCACAATGGGATTTGGGTTTGATTAAATGTCAATGCCTGAAGGAAAAAAAAAAAAAAGCAAGTGTGGAAAGAGGGGGGAAAAAAGCTAATTTCTCAGAATAAGAGATGTGGGCTGTTCTGGGTCCTTGGCCATCCAAGGAGGACATTGGTTAGTCACACAATATAGGACAGCTAAGGTTGTGTATAGTCCCAGAGGATCAAGCTATGACATGTTTGTGATTTACTCCATAACAGCTAAAAGTGGTTGGAGGGCCTCTCTGTCCTTCTCTAGAAGGTGAGTCGTGAGAGTGGGAGATTCAAGAGGGTCCTTTCCTTCAATCTCAGATGTGCGTATATTAGTAGAGCGTATAAACCTATTACAAGGGTTCCTCGCGTTGCCAAATTAACCAAAACATGTTATCAGAAGAGCTGAGGATAAGATTTAATTTGCGGCAGCGTGTCAGCTTGTTCAAATTCATGGCTGGCAGATACACCTTGCATGATTGTCCGTTCTCAATTCTGGCTTATGTACAATGAGATAAAGTGTGCATTTGCATTCAGAGAAGATTTATAATTGTAAATGAGCGCAGGACTGAGATAATTAGCTTCAGAGGTACACTGTGTAGGTACACCAACGATCATTATGGTAATGGGGGAGGATGAAGGGTGAGGAAAGTGAGTGAGGGAAAGCAGGAAAGAGATGCAGATGGATGAGGGTGAAGCAGAGGGGAAAACACAAAAATAGGAAGAAGAGAGGACAGAGCATGGTCGCAATGAATAGAAAAGGAGTGGCTCATTCTCAGGGAAAGGCTATACCTCCTGCTGGTTTGACCTATGTCTTTGTGTCCTAAATTGGGGTCCATCTCATGCCACAGTTAGGCTGAACCCAGGGTTGGATCTCTGGAGACGTAGCTGTTCTGTTGCTTTGGTGTTTCTCATAGACCGAGGGAGGCTGAATCATCCCACTCAGCTCCTCTTGGAGGACAAGAGGAGTAAGGTGACCTCCCCCCACTACCTCAAGAGTGATGAGACACCTCTTTCTTTCTTCTTCCTCTTCCTCTTTCTTTCATGCCACGCAGCTAATTTGGAGACCAGAGGCAGAATTCATAGACTGTGTATCATCAAGTGAAGGAGGGACTGGTCCTGGATCGCTGACCAGATGTGACCATCTCATTCATTTTAATCATCTTTCAAAGTCAGAGACACTTGATGAATTAGACCTTAATATCTTTTGGAGTTATTAATCAGTCTGCATAATATCTTTTTAATTCAATTTCACGTGATAAAAACACAATTATTTTTCTTGTCAACACATTATTTTGAATTTATAAGACTGACATCATTTCTGTTATCCTTTTTATAAATGACATTTGGGAATTATTGAGTTCCTCGCTGTCATTCTTTCTCCTGTGCCCTTCACAGTGAGGGTGAACTACAGAAGACCTGACATGAAGCTAGCAGGGACTCATGCCGAAGGACACCACAGCAAAGCAGATGCTAAATGTCAAGAGGGTGTAATCCAGGGTCTTGATCTCAAGGTGCTAACCTGCACCCCCTGAATCTCAAGGTCTCTAAACACTTAGGTAATTATACATTCATCAACACATGTGGTGCTGTGTCTCTTTAACTCGTCACAGTCTCTCCTCCCTCCCCCCAAAAAAGAGTGGAGACAGGCAAGCGTGACTAATGTGGATGCCCTGTAGAGGGCAATATTGTCTGCTGCATTAGGGGGAGTACTTTGAAAGGGCTCTTTAAATGTCTTAATGTTTCTACTCTATGACAATGAGATCTCTGTACTTGTTCAATAATTTAACAAGGTGATGAATGAGCAACATATAAGTTGTATAATAGATGTTCTATTTTGCTCCATAAAACCCCGAAAATCAATCAGTTTAAGTGCTGGGGATTTAAGCCAAGCTGCATTATCCCAAATAAAAACCCAGATGCTTTGTTGTTGCTGAAATACAAAAGACGAGGTCTTTATCGCCTTGCATCTCATTTAATACGTCAACAAATGATCAGGTGCAATTTCATGGATTTCTTTGCAAAATGTGTCTGTCCTGTCCCTCAACTCCGTGTGAAAACAGTTTGGAGAACTATGATCAGAGTAGCAGAGGGTCAGATTTGGCTAAACCTACTCCCTGAGAGCTGCAGGTTATTGGCTTCCTTATTTAATCTGACAGATTTAATATAAAACAGGTGATGCTTGTGCTTCTCTCAATGGCCGTGGCTTGTGGGCCCTTCTTCGGGATTGGCAGAAGCACATGACTCCAGTGCTCTCCGTCCAGGTCGGGACAAAGCTACTCTTTTACCTCCAGGGCCCGCTTCACAACGGCTCATGTGTGAGCATGGAAAAAGTGTGGAAATCAAACCTCCTCTGTAAATACACGAAAGGTCAGCGATGACGTCAGAGTCCGGGGACAGCCTCCTCCGTGATTTTGCGGCCTGTCGCCGATGCCTGATTCGTTGCAGCTCTTTATATTTTGCACTCTTTGCTCCCTGATGATCCCAATTTAATTGCACCAGAACACTTCTGTTATAATTGTGTTTGCTGCATCACCCACTGCTCATAAGTCTGGCGACTGAACTATGTAGTGCAGGCAGCTACAAAGGGGGCTACTTTTTGCTGACTCGTACAAAATCTTGAAAACAAACATATTCTGGGACTCCTTTTGATGCAGTTTACTATTAACTGTCGTTTCTCATGACTTTTTTCACGCTGTGCTCTTCTCCCACTACCCATGGGCCCTCTAGGCTTGGGCCCAAAGACTCTCCCACTTCATCTTTCTTCTATTATGACTGACGGCAAAGAAGTGTGCCCATCTACCATGCATGGCCTTATTGTTCGGCCGTGACCCTCACCTCGACTGTATGTAGCTTCTTCAGAGTGTTCCTTGTTGCCTTGCCAGGCATCTCATACTCTGTTTCTGTTCTTCATCAACATTTATTTTTCTTTCCTTTGCAAACAAGTGTTTCTTTTACTTGCAGGTCGTCCGATTGTGTCTCGGATAGGCAGGGCTCTTTGAAACTCAATCCATTTCCTCTATTATTCATGGCGTTGTGTGTGAAGATTAATGCCACATTCCTGAGCTAGTTTTGTTTTTATCATTGTCATTAATGCAATCACATCTGGAGCATAAACAGGACACCTCTGCTAGACGGCTCACTTGTAGAAATGTGTTCTGTAAAAGTAAGACTTCTATGAAACATTGATGAATTATACGGGTGTAACGAGGCTTAGCATTTGGTCCAGGCACTTGCATGCCTTCAAACAGGAGATATGAATTGTCTTTTGTATGTGTCCAGATGATGTGGACTGTCATTATTTATTCAGACTGGACAGATCTAACAGCAGTCCAGTCTGGGAGGCAGCCAGCCCCTCCTGGAGAGGTACTGTAAGCACAACTTTCCCTTCTCCACAGTGCCTGTTTTTGGAAAGGTTTTTACATGTGGCCAGCATCTGCATCCAGAGCATATAACTGCTTCACTGACACCCATTTATACAGGAACAAATATCAGTGTTAGTGTCTTATGTGTGCAAATTGTTGACAATAAATCACCTGATGAACAGGTCCCCCCCCTCCCCCATGGTAATAAAGTGTTGGAAAATATGTCTGTTGTCCTGTCTGACAGAAGTAAGATGAATGTGTATGTTCATCATTGTATGCATACAGATATGTCTGTGTACAAGTGAGACAGTGAGAGACAGCACAATAGCTAACATGTAAATATATAGATGCACATTATTGTGTTTAGCATAATCTGTCAGGAGTTACTTTGCCAGATGTTCTCGATTGTTTTTTTTACTCCTACCTTCTTAATTTCCTATCAAACAAAAGGAGCCTTTTCTCTTGGAAAGTCTAATTTATTTGTGCTGGGCCAAAGAAAAGAGGGAGTTTTTGATCTGTTGAAGCCTCTTGCAATTAACCTGATACAACACATTGGAAAAGTCTGAGTTGCTGACATCATGCAGCTGCTGTAGCTTCAGCACTCTCCAATGGCACTATTTTGTTCCAGGATTTAATGTGCAGCACTAAAGCTCACATTGCAGATTATACCAGAATACTATAACCATTCAAGTGAAGGTAACCATTGGTTTGACAGTGTTGGGTCACACTGGTCACACCTCAGTAAAACGGTCCAATAAGAGAACCATGTAACATACTTTATTGCAGTTTGACAAGTTTTAGTACTACTTGTTTCCATGCTCCACATGAGCACAGGCTAGATACACAAAAACATTTAACACATCTTCAGTCATCCTGATTGATTTTAAAGTATCAAGTTAAATAGCTTGTATTTCAGTAGAACTGAACAACTGAATGGTCTTGAGCACCAATTTGACTGCATGTTATAAGATGTTCAATTTCAGTCAAGTAGTTGGGTGGGTTGGTCACAGCAGAGCCAGTTGGTAATGAATGTTTATTATAAATCAAATGTCTAAGATTTGTCAGAGGTTTGTTTTAAAAGCACAGAGGCCTAAAATAACTCGATAATTATATGAGTCACCTTGCCACTCAGGAAAAGCTTGCTCTCCACCAAAGTACCCACTCCATCTTTGAAAAAACACATTCACAGTGTGGCTATGTACATGTAATATTTTTGGATCATGAGGGGAAAAAAAACCCACTCCCTGTCAGATTTGATGTTTTGTTCATCTGCCAAAGTAAAGGTTTGACAAGAAGGAACACAGTCATTACCACTGGCAACCATATTTTTTCACCTTGGTGTGCTGACGGCTTCCCTGACTGCATCACTGCTATCTGATTCCCATCCAACCATAGTGGGACAGGCAGCACAGACATAGCACAAAAACAAACAGGTGAGCGAGCGAAAAAAATACAACGAAATCCAAATATATAGCACATGCACACACACACACATACCATACAGCACAAACAAATGCACAAGCACATTCAAACTGTCTGCCTGCCTTTCCCCCCCCCCCCCTTTCCCCAGGTGTATATGGTCTCTTTGACACAGTCTGCCAGTCTGCTGCCATGCAGCGCCACATTTAGCCCTGCAAGAAGCGCCAGACTGCAGCTGAGCAGAGCACAGTGAGGAGGTTATTAATGCCCTTCCTTATTTTAAGTGACAGTCTGAAAACACCGGTGGCACCATGCAGACCCTGCGAGCTGCAAGCTTGTCTTTCATCCCATCTGTCTTCACGGCACTCAGTCTCCTTGGCCCTAATGGGCCTGTGGCTGTCGCTCTGTCAGTTTGCTCGCAACACACCCTTGTCTGTCTGGTGGGTCGCAGATGAAGGAACACAACGATTTATCACCATCAATTGATGTGTTGCACCTCTTCCATGAAATCATGCAGTATTTTTTTTTAACTAATAGTGTCCAACAATGCTATAAAACTGCTCCTGCAAATTTCTTTTTTTCGGGAAACTTGAATCTTGTATTGTTGTTATAAACTCTAAAAGTTTGGAAAGGATGAACAATTCTGCAGATGCTATCCCAATGTCATGCTCATGAAGGTGTCAAAACATCACGCTGCTTTCTCTAGCCTTCAAGTTATCTCTCTGCCCTTTCCTACGTCCCCTCTTTCTCCCTTTCACTACGCTCGTCATCCTCTTACCTTTCATTCATCAGAGCCCCCGCCACCTATCACCACACCCCGCTGTGAGTTTTGACACCTGTCTGATGTATGCCTCTCTTTTCTCTCACAGGACCTGGGCGCAGATGGACAGCCTATCAATCACTCCGCAGCCCTTTCTCCTGCAGAGCTCAGCCAATCACAAGTGATTGGGGTTTGATCTAAACGTGATGTGTCAGAGCGTAAATGAGTGAATGCTTGCACACATATTTGAACATGATGTCAAGTTTTCAACCTCATGCAGAGACGCACACGCACATTTATCTCCCTTTTCTCATGCTTCACGACCAATAACTTGTTTTCCATATGTTGTGAGGGTCAGAGTGCATGTAGCATGTACTCCACCAAATGCACAATTAAATCTGCCAATGCAGATAGATATGTGAATGCAATACCCACTAATTTAAACCCATAAAACTCATACAAAATGCATTTCAGAAGGTGGCATTCATATTGTGTCACTGACCCAAAGGCGTCATGTAAGATTACATAGCACTTGTCTGGGCAATAACAAAGACTGGCAGCCTGAGTCACAACCTATTGCAGCCCTCCAGACATCATAACACTGTCGGGACAAGGATATAGTGGAACCCATTACGGATTGGTCATTTCACTCCATTGCTGCTCAAAAGCAAATGAGGAGTGACAACTCAGCTCCCTGGTGACGGACACTAAGAGGAAAGCTGGGACATTTAAAATAAAACGCGTCCGCTCTCCAAGGTTTGGATGAATAAACAGTATGGATATCAGGGAGGGGGTTGCCACATCCTGTGAGACTTTGACGTTGGTAGTGCAGGCTTCTCCCTCAAACGCGGCAATGGATCTGGAAGTCCAGGGAATTGGGTTCAGTTGTCATTCGACCCACAAAACCTACCACTTCAGTGACTCCCTGCGGTACTTTGATCTTTGACTCTGCATACTTATCCACTGGGTAAGAGCAAATGTAAAACGACTGATTGCCAAGGAGGTTTTAGAGCAGATTGTCAGCTTTAATGTGCGGGCATCATGACCCATATCAGATGAACTGTTCCAGGACCACTGACAAGCTTTCTGTGAACATGGCTTCCCAGTTTTAGAATGCCAATATTTGATCATTTTAAGATATAGCTTTTTTACTTTTAGACTATTACATGAGTATTTTTGTGTCAGTCTGCAACTTTAAAAACTCATCCCAGATTTCTCTTTGACTATGTTTGAGGTAAAATGAGTCAGTGTGGTGGTTTTTGTTTAAGCAAACATGAGTTACAACAATGTTACTTTCAAGAATTCTTCAAGAACAGGAATGAACATGGCACACCACCCTATAATCACTGCCAGCAGGACATCTATCATTAACATAAGTTTGAAGGAGACATTTGTCATTTTCTAAGCTAAAAAATGTAGGAATTGCAATTTTTGGGGCAGTGGCTCCGAAACAGATACTTCAAGTGTTTTTAAACACTTGAATTATGGAATAAGGCGCCTTAGATGTTTAGTTCTAAAGGTATTGATAATGACAACAAAGGCCAATTATAATATAATCAGATTTCTGCCATTTTTAGGTGTATATAGTCCAAATGTAAATATGTTTGCAAACGCATTTCACGTTGACTTTGAGTGATTTAAATATCAGAAGCCAATGTCTGAGAGAGAATGGTGTTGGTTGGAGTATTTTATTGCAAAATGGACTTTCCCTAAAAACCTGAGGTAGGAAAATATGTATGATGCAGAAAGAAACGGTGACAAAAATACAATGAATTGACCATTATATCGATTGCAGCTTGTAAGAAAAGCTGAGAGCTGGTCAGAAATATGAGCAAATATATCTGTTGATTCTTCTACATTGTACACTGTATGAAATATAATTGTTGCATGGTATTGCTTCTGTTTATCTATGTCAAAACGGAAAACATATATGGGGTAACAACATCCAGTAAAATGCAATGCATGATAAAGTCTGACACATGCTGTATAGGTTTTGTTTCGAGAATGACAACTCTGAGGGATGAGTATACTTCCCGACCTGCAGGGAGTTTTAACTAAACCACATCATCTGGAAACAAACAAAACCCATCACACTGGCAATTGCAACAGCAATAAAACATTTTTTTTAAACGTATAGCAGCATCCTTTATAAATCATATTGATATAGAGCATAATCATATAAAAATAAATGCACAATTTGTTCCCCAATCATTAAAAAACGTACAAAACATGACAAGAGACCTCTCCAGAGCACAGGTAAAAATGTGCCAGACTTGATACAATAAAAATGATTCATCCTTAAGTGCCATTATAATGTTATATCATAGGATTGCTAGAATCAGTTTTATACTGAATCATACACAGCTATTTGTTAAGAGGGCAAGGTGATGGCACAAAGACACACGTGTGATACTATTTACAAATATCTACAACATTTTCAGAGATATTTACAAAGTTTTCAGATATAAATTTCCTGCTAAAGATGACAAATTGTACACTCAGTGCGAGTGAATACTGCCAGTATCTCATTGTGTATGTGTCAAGTTTTTTGTTGCTCGGTTTACGCCGTCATGGAGACGACCTCTAACCCCTGGAGTGTAGCAAAGCCAGAAACATTTCAGTCATTTGAGTTTGACAACAGGGCTTGATTACTGCCTATTCAACAGCCCAAGTGTGCTTTCTGTTTGGTGAAGCCGCCCTCTGGGGCACTCAAATCACAGCGAACACCCGGAACGCCTTTCCTCCAGGAGGGTTTTGAAGGCTACAGGGAAACGAGAAAGAAGAGGGAGAGTCAAGTCTGGATGGCAGCATGTGTCAGATACAAAACACGTCCCAGCCTTTTGCAGAGAGACGTAGATGACATGCACACACAAGCAAATAGACTTCAGGTTTTTACGGAGAAGCGTCCACATCAGTGTTGTCTGACACTTTAATGACAGATGGGACACAAACAGATAGAGGTTCGGGCTCCCTGACAAAACAGATAAACCAGCCATTTTTACATAAACACAGGGGGACCTTTATGTGTTAATCCAACAAAGACAGACATGTTGTGAAGTTAAAGGAGACAGATAAATGATGGGCAGATACTAACAGACATCAGGCATCTCAGTGAAGTGACAAAGAATAATGTGATGGAGAGAGGAAGGGGAAGAGAGAGGGGAGGACAGAAAGAGATGGGGAAGGCCATAGAATAAATGAGTGTGTGTTTGTCCTCTACGCAGGTCATGTTAACAATAGTCATTCTGCAGACCGTAAAACAACCCAAAGGTGGTGCAATTTTATATTTAAAAAAACAAACTAGACCATACTATACAGTATGTGGGTCACTCTTTAGCTTTGAACAGAGGCTGGTACAGACCTGTAACCTTAATGCTGTTGTAAAGTGTTGCAGCATGATTCAACACATGCTCTCACTTTCTTCTCCTATGCAAACACAAGCTCCCTTCTTTGCAATTCCCTTTCAGCCTCAGAGGACCCATTATGGAGGAAGATGGTGACAAACAACTATTATTATTATTATTATTATGAAACAACGCACGCATACCCAAGGATTAATTAAAATAGAACGTTGTTCAATATCAGAGAGGCATTGAACATTATTAAGATGTATCCTGGTCAAAAGCGTATACCTTCTCGGTCCTCTTGATGCAGAACAGCTGTATTATCTCCTGTAGGGGATTTTTGAATTGGGCAGGTATTTTATTGCCTGGCTTATGGTTCCTAACACACCAATAGCCACTGTAAAACCAATGAAAAAAACAATCTTGTTTGCTGCTCTGAGTTAGCAGGTGGTTTCAAAGATTGTCACCCCTCCTCTTCAGAGTAGAAATGGGAAAATAATGGGGCAATATAAGCAAAAATATACTTCTATGAAGACGATGCAGTGTACTTGCTCACCTGCTCTTTCCTACGTGAGATCCTTTGTCCTAAAAGTATGTTTTGGGATGCCTTTGACACTGAGTGTCACATTGTCACAACAAGACTTAACCGTTAAACTACTATGTCTGTGAAGCCGGATGTGTTGCATATGTTTTATCTTTTTCAATCCTCACAAAGCTTACCCCTCCTTATATTTCATGTGTGTTGAGTTTACTTGCAAATTATCCACATGGCCTCTACAGCTGCAGTGATTTGGTCCCTTTAAGAGTTCAGATGCAGAAAGTCTGTCGTGTTTCCCACTGTTGTTGACCAACTCGTACTGTATTAGAAGAACTAACCTAATGCCTACACCTTCTGTTAAATCCTTACCTTTTTAAATTGCTTCTTAACAAGGCTAAGGTAACAAGCTCCCAGTCCAGGATATTCCACCTAAGCCGACCAAGACCAAAGTAAGACTATAATGGTAATGCAAGATGTTGCCTCTATTGTGCATGGCCTGCTTTCCACTTGATCCCCTTTGTGTTTGATGCCTTTCACTCGATGCATTTGCATTTGTTTGTCACTGCTTTGCATTCTTGCTTTTTTGTTTATCTGCGCCACCATATTAAGCTTTAGACCCTTGTCTGCTCGTTGCCCTTTTTTGACTTACTACCAAAAAAACAAACCCCTCCCAGAACTACATTAAGATGCACTCATCTCCTCTGCACTAATTGCCAAGCTATTCATTATTTTAAACTGGAGGCATGTTAATCACCCTCCCATGCACACTGCATGAGAGATGTAATGAACTGCCTGCATATTGAAAAGACTAGATCCACAAGGGAAGGCAGAGTGGATCCATTTCTCTTTACCTGGGAGCCATTGATTTCTCATTCCTTTTCTTTGAGGCTCAGAAGATTAACCCCTTCACTGTCCAACCAAAGACATAATACTGAAATAGGACCAGTTATCTCCCTAAAAAATGAAATCTATAATAGAATGCTAACCACCCTCTGATTTTGACTTTGTTTTTTACACTTTATTTATATTTCTATTTGCACGCGCATACTAGCCACTGAGGTCAGCTTGGGCTAGATTAGGCATGCCATACCTCTCTGAGGAAATGCCATTTTGGTATGAGGCAATGTAGTGTTTCCGCTTGTCCACTGGCATTACATCGACATAGCCACCCGCATCATTCCGGATTACTCCAGTGTGGATCGCTGCTCGGCATATACTGGACTTCTACAGAGGTATGCAAGAGAAAGGTTCACGTAAGAAACATTGACATTGGACATTGGTTACCCAAGTGAAGAATTCAGCTTCAGTAGCTTGACTTACATCGGAGTATATTTTGGTGCCGATTACTCGGGATATGTGAGGATTTTCTTCTAAACAGTTTCTCGGGCAGTATAACCTAAAAATAGAACAATTGGACATGGTTAATAACTTCAACTTACATGATGCTGGAGAACTAAACGTATGCATGCAGGCAGACATAAAGTCAGGTTCATACCTTGGACAATGTTTTGCAGGCTTTTGGTATGAACACATCTGTGCAACTGTGGTTTCACATGTGATGGCTTTGACTGTAAGAAAGAATTACAGGGTGTGTCAACACACACCGTTGCAACACAGCTTATAAAGAGTAATGTCATGCAAAATGTTACATCTCTCTAAGAACAGTGTCACATTTTTGTCAGACTAACCTGCTACTCTGGAAACTGTGAAGGAATTAGCACTCAGATATTTTCTGTCAAGAGGAAACACAAACAATGACATGAGACTACATTCTTTTCACTTATTGTGAGAATATTTGACCAATCTTGCTATCAAATATCATCAGTATAAATCATGGTGATGTTTCTAATATTATTGTCTCACCCAAGAGACTGCACTCCGTTCTTGTTGGATTTGATGAAAAAGTCTTTTCTGCCTTGTCGTGTCACATCCATCCATCCTCCGTCATTATCTATGACACCGGCATGTAGACCAGCTCTGCACACACTGGATTGCTGCAAATAGAATATTTGATTTACAACATAATATTGATGGCCTTTTGCTGACACAGTTGTAAGCAAGTAGCACTTTAATGTCTCTATTAATTGGCTTAATATTGACCACATCATTTGCATTACTCAGCCTGAGGAACTGAAGTACTCACCATTTCATAGTATACTGTCCCAACTACTTTTCCTGTAGCATCTAGGCACCCAGCTGGACACTCATATCTGTGTGAATAATATGGGAAAAATAAGGTGAAGTGAACCGAATACTCCATTTTGTAGTGTTGTTGTTTTTATTATATTTAATATGAACCGTACCTATTACATGGTGTTCCTTTACACTGATCTCGGAGCTTAGTGTCACAGATCACAAACTGAGCTGAAAAGCATAAACATAAAGGCCTTTCAGTGCTCGTACAGGAACCAACATGTATGAAGTGGCAGCTCTGATGCAGACGACTGGTTTCTTAAAGGCTGAGTTGAGAGACACCCAGCGAGGAACACTGTTCTAATGCTTCAAGAAGCAAAGAGAAGAATTCCTGCAACGAGGTTCAGGGTGGTCAGCAAATCTAGAGGAAGCCTCTCAGTTTACAAGCACAGGCCCGTTTCACTGCAGAGAGGAAGCCATTTAAAAACCGCATGGAGCCCCTCTCGCCCCTCAACCCCTCTCAGCCGGCCAAAAGCAAACACATACTCGGTGGATCATGCTGAAATAGACCCCCCCTCCCTGCTCCAAAGAGTGACTTGCAATATTAAGTACACTTCAGAAACTGTCAAGGTTAATCAGGGAGATGAAAAAAGGCTGCAAAACATCAAGGCAATTTAAGATAAATTGCAAGAAAAAGATTTCCGATCAAGCACATTTTTTGTGCTTGTTGTCTACGAATGATTGCGGGGTAAACGCTAAATTATTTGGTTTTGTCCCAATTTTTTTCTTTTAGATCATGTCCTAAATTTCTTGCCACCTCCCAATCCTAAACCAGATCTACACTCTCCCTTTTAAGATGAAACTAGATCCAGAATAAACAGTTAAATGACAGCTTACACATCTGCTGTGTGTCGACCGCTTCATTCTTCTGCAGGTCCTCTGTGGGGGGCTTGGTGGGGGCTGGAGCGGGGAAACTGGGAGGCTCGGGCTTGGAGGCCCTAGACCGGGGCTTCTGTGGAGTATGGGGGGCCTCCGGCTCAATGAAATTGTTTTCTTCTGTTTCCTCTTGTGGAGGGTTAGAGCTGTCATCTTCAAGTAAAGTCACAAAAACAGGGTATATTAAGCTTATTCTTCCTCAGGCTTTCCAGCAATATCTTTATTTATTTTTTTCAGTCACATACCTTTGAAGCAGAGGTTGTCCTTGCAGCCTCCTCCATAGCTGGGAGGACAGGCAGAGCATGAGGTCCCATGTTTGTAAGGCGAATGTCCCCACCAGTTTCCCCTGTTCAGGTAGTATAACAGAAGTGATTGCACAAAACACATACTGCTTTAAAATTAATAAACCATATTCCTGTCCAACCCCTTTGTGTGTGTGATGATTTTGAACTTCAACTATGAGTGAAAGAAACGTTCAAAATTCAGCAGCAAATTAACATAAATATTGTTTCAACCTGTATATCAGTCACATGCAGCTGTGAACGGACCTCACAACAAAAGTGCTTACTTTGGTGAATAGTTGCAGACAAGATAGAGGGCTTTGGTCCAAATCTGTCCCCACACATTCATGTTGTAACATATGTTGATGGCACACCCAATTCGACTGCTGGTGGCCCATACCAGCTGCGAAAAGAAAAACAAGACAGACCATGAAAAACAGATTATTAAGTCATAAATCACTAAAGGATGAAGTCTAAAGAGGAAAAAGGGTAAAGAAATGGTATGATCCAGACCTAGCTACCTGTGTGTAATGAGTACAAACTGGGCCGGAGCATCTGAAGGGGCAATAGGGGTCACACTCCTGAGGGTAAGGGAAGGAGTAGTCTTTCACCTCATCATACCAGGCCTGCACATGGAACGTGGGTGGGCGAAACCTGGGGAGATGAGTAAGCGTATGTACCTTTGATGACAATGTTCCAAAAAACATTTCTATTGTCTTGTGTCTCTTTTGGTGTGGGAGTTGGTATTGTGCATCAAAGCTCTTTTCTAGAACCGATATGCATATGCATGTTACCCATAGTCTACAGTTTATTAGTGCAAAACAAAGCAACTCTTGGATTTACAAAACCCTAAGTTGTTTGGCAAAAATGTTTCCAAGATACAGGTGGTAGCTAAAGAGATAACATACAGCAAGCATCTCATAACTTCAAAATTTAGCCTGGCAAGGTGTCTCAAGACCCAATCAAAAGATAAAGTAATTTACACAACACTGTACATATGTAGCTACCATTTGTAGTAAGCACAGCAATGTAAACACAGCTGTTGCCATTAAGAATCTAGCTTTCAATCAAACATTTGTGCTCTCTGAAAAGACAGCAGTGACCAAAGCTTGCCGCTAATTTGGCAGCATGTGTGGTTAGTCAATCTGATTTAGAATCAAGCGAACATATTTACTGTGAAGTGATATGATTAGATGTGGAACAAGAGTCTCGTATGTGAAGCAGTGCTGTTTTCAGACGCTCTATGGGAGGCTGAGTGTACAAATGTAGCAAATGATATGTCCTGTGTGTGAATGTGTTAGTGTTGTGAAGGAAATGGCAGAAAAGCTAACTAGCAGTTGTGGTAAACTAAAGCTCAACAGAATAAGTGACCTATTCCTTACTATTTAAAAAAAACAGTCTGAGCCAAATATGGCTAACTACTTATCCAGGATAGTCATATTGTGATTTTAAATTTTCCAATGGGTTCCCGGCCAACATGGCAGCCGAAAAGACTCATATTTTGACCCTGTCCAAGTTCACATTTGTATGTTACTGTGTCTGTAAAATCAAATTACACAACAATTCTGTTCTTATCGATGTTCCTATCCACAGAATTAGACGCAAGCCTCCGTCACAAACGATAAATTAAAAGACTGCGTATACTCAATTCTTGCTTACCTTCCCCAGTGTGCTCCCAGGTTCTGTCCGATCTGTGGCAGTAAACTGGCAGGGCCGTGCTCCCACAGACAGGTTTCTGCCCACTCCTCTGCTGTACGCTCCAACTCTGTGTCCCACACCTACACGGGTGATGAGATGGAAAAACAATAGGAAGTTTTCAGGATTACGTTTCTTAAACGGAAAATAATAAAATAAAGCGACTCAGCGCAACACAAAGCTGCTTGTATTGCATCTAATGAGCCATAAGATATAGCGATGTCAGGTCAGAGAACGGCTAGTGTGAAACTGGAGAAATTCACTGCCTTGTAGGGTTTGTTCAGCTGTCAATGATGTGTGGTGGTATTCAAACCCATACTGAACAAGGATTAATTATCATATGTCATGATAAGTAATAGGGACAAGGAGCGGCTATGGCTAAGTAACTGCACTAATCTCTAAACTAAGTGCAGAACTATGTTGATGTGTTCCTGCTGCTAAAAAGATCTTTTTGACTCTCTTATTGCTGCTCAGCTGACTTTCCCCAAATGGGTTTTCCCGTGGGATCGGCTGTTATTCCAAAAATGCAAAAGCTGTTTTTTCTTAATACCTACCATATGTCTCTGGTGAAATGTCTGGGTGCAAGCTTTTGTTTCACTTTACCGCTCTCTGAATTGCCCTCTCAGTTAAGTTTGGCTCTGGTTGGATACTAAGGGATCATATTCCCACTCTGGGGTTTTCTGGGAATGCGAAGAGTGTCCTTCCTTTCTGCTGACCTACATTCTTCCATGAAAAAATGTTAGAAAAACTCCAGCTGTAATTCCTCTGAAGTGCACTGTATGTGCCTTTAATTGCACACCTTCACTTTCACCTTCAGTGTGAGTTATCGAACTTAACAGGTTTCTACAAGAAATACAATTAGTTTGTGTGTGTGTGTGCATACGAATGTGTTTGGGTGCGTTAGCCTTAGCATACCAGCGGAGGTGTCAGAAGTTTTCACATCTCACACTTTGGGCCCTGGAAGTAATAGCTTACCCTCACTGAAATCTCATCCAATAACAGACACTAAAATAACTCCCTCGCTTCCTCCACTACCTCCTTCGTCCGTCACCCACTTACAGTCTCACCAGAAACAACTGCTGTTCTCTGCATTACTCCCGAAACACACACTTACCTAACAACAGGATGTCTGGCAGCGCTGCAAATTAACTCTTAACTCTGAGCAGTTTCTTCAGCTATTTCTGGGAATCCAGCTTGCTGTTGAGAGGACCTATTTGTTCAAATTAACCACGCTAGGGACTCTTCCATATTGGCACAGTGTTCTATGTAAGATTTCAACACAAAGCCTCGTAGAAATGTTACATAACTGACATATAGAATAAATAAGCTGTTGGAGGTGTGGAGTGTATTTTTCAGTCATTTCTACATGTGCAAAGAGGGAGCACGTTGGTGTTACAGCAACCTTGTGTGCAGTTGCCTGTAGTCTGTCTTGCACAATAAGGCCAAATGATGACTGACAGAGCCAGGGGTAAAACAGGAATGAGAATTTGTTTACCTGAAACTCTATCTCTATCTTTGTGGGCAGTGAGCTGAAAATAAATGTCAGTGTGTCAGTATTGTCAGATCTGTTTTGTTTTGTCCCCAGTTATCCCTTTTTGCCAGTACAACAGCGTACGATGCTAAAACGGAAACATCGGAAGAGATTTGAGCCTGGTCATCATCAGTAGTGAAAGAATGCAATTCAGTAATTATTTTGAGCTCCGATTTTCTCTACAAGTGACCTTCTTGCACAAAAAGAAAAATCAATGTTTACACTGATAAGCAGACTGAAGCACATTGCTTAGAGCTGTGGTAATTACGATCTGCAAACAATCTGCAAACCACAGCACATAGGACGCTCTGTCCTTGAGCGGGGTCAACACAATGTGTTTGACCATTAATGAATGGTTATGGGTCGGAAAACATTCAGCTGGCCACAACTAAGATCTCACTGGCTACAGTGTCATGAGGGGGGTGGGGGTGGGGCCAGTTTATATGATCTGTGATGCTCTCAAAGCCTGTCTTAAATAATGATGAATACAAGCAGCACCCTTGCAGCTGAGGAACTCATTCCATTGTCCCAAAATTGAACTGAAAAAAAAAAGGCAGAGACACATAATTTTCAGCTGTGGAACCTGATGCAGAGTGCAGTCGGCTTGTCAAGCTGCTGTTGCTAGGACAGTTAGCCCAGCAGGGGAGGCCGTGTAACCAAGAC